TATATATATACATATACATATTTTTCTCTGTATAATCTTTACAGTTTTTATGCCATTTTGTTTATGTGTTTTAGTTATTTTTTTTCTTTTCTCTTTAAAATGAAATATATACATACAAGGATAGCTGGGATAGGTGTATTGCTGATGTCTGTGGTTTATTGGAAGGAACAGTTAATGCTTAACTTTTTTTTCTTGACCAAATTTGCATGCTTGCGTCTGGTAATTGGAACGACTGATTTGAAGACAACAATATGCAATATAACAACCATTGTTGAATTCCTACCATCTTGTATGATGAAGGTCCATATCGTTTCCAATGGCTTTTTTTTATTACTTATTGTTTTTATTTGATCAGTCTTGCGTTCTTACATCTGCTGGACTGAGGAACTTCGTTGAAGGTAACAGTATGTCCTGTAGCAACCACTGTTAATTCCTATCATTTTGCTTTGAGGTCCTGTGCTGTTTTTGTTCTTTTCATGTTGTTTTGTTTTAGTCTTCACTGTTGTTGTTTTGTTAGGGTTTTTTTTTTCCTCTTTAAAATAAAATTAGGGGCTGGGGATTTAGCTCAGCGGCAAAGCGCCTGCCTGGCAAGTGCAAGGTCGTGAGTTCGGTTCCCGGTACCGGAGAAAAGCCAAAAACAAACAAAATTAAAATAAAATTATTACAAAGAAAAGAACCTGAATTTTAAGATAAGCAATTATTTTTTAGTATCAGTGATGGACATTTTAGACATATTAAAAGTGAATTTACTGGCTTGCTTCTTATTTTAAAGATGATACCTAAAAATTAAATTCTTTCTTTTGTATCAATATATTAATAATTTCAGGTCTATTCTTTTGGTTCATAGTTGTTTACAGGTGTGTCTCCTATTATTACTAGGTCATAGTCATCTTGAGGTCAGGACCTGTTGCTTATTCACTGTCATAATTGTAAAATCTTGGCTCAGTGCTTATTTCATGAGCTTTCAATGTAAATAATTGCTAAGTGTGTTCTGGTTACTGTTACTTCCTTGCTACTTTTATTGGTAGTATTTTGGTAGTTTACATAAAGTAAAATTTCATAAAAATTTACAGTTCTATTGAAGGATTAAAATATGTCAGATACAAAGGTTCTGTAGGGAAAAGAATTTTCCATTGAAATCAGAAAGATTTTAACTGAGCAATGTCATTAGGCCAGTTGCATTTTGTAAATTGTGCAGCAGAGTACAATGGTGAGATGTGTCTGAGATATTTCAAATGTAATAAAATGTCACTTTTGGAGACATTGATTAGAAAATCAGGCATGAGGGCACATGCCTATCTACAACCCCAGCACATGGGAGGATCAACCATGACTTTGAGGCTACCTTGAGCTATGTAGTAAGACCTTGTCTCAAAACAAAAACCAAAAGAAAGAGAATAGGAACAAATAAAATGTTGAATATTATTTCTGAAATCTTGTTTGGTTCAGTTTTTATATCCAAAATGTGGAAAATATATGCATACATATGTGTCTATAAAACTGTCAGTGTAAAATATAGGTTGTCAAAAAAAGTTTTAAAATCCTAACCTTTGGATATTTGAATGTTTTGAATAATGCTGACCCTCAAATTCTCCATTCACAAAATGGGGTTAATGATAACTATTTTGAAGGTTTATTCTGGGAATTAATGACAGCAATACACTATATGCAAAGTACCATGTACAATGCCTGCTCTCACACATAAGCCTAGAAAAGATGTTGCCTTTCACCAAAACTAATGCATTTAATTTTCACTGATTAGGACCCTTTCAAGTGTACACAGGATTTCATCAATGTTTTAAATCCATGAAATTAATTTTTAAAATATTTCTGATTTGTAAGACAATGATTTTTAAAAGTTAATCATTAAAAGCATTGCTTAATTAATTCACCGTTCAATGATTTTTCTTTGAGCTCATTGCTTTTCAGGTCAATAAAACAGTGTTTTTAATATAACATTCATTTACTCAAGTAATATTTTAATAATTTGGAATATGTCCAGAGGAACATGACAGATTTTTTAAAGAGTCCAAACTTGTCCTATAAGGAGCAATAAAAGAATCTAGTGAGAGCCTACAAAAATAATATTTAAGATTACACTGACTTCATATATGAAAAAGATTACCTCATGACAGAAAAGATTAATGTGTTTTTGGCAGAGGAAGATTAGTTTACTGAAAGTTATAGAACATTAGATTTAGCTCAAAGTAAGAAAAAAGTTGTACTTGAAGCTTAAACCAAAACATTAAAGCTCCCTCAAGAAGGCATTCCTCTGAGAAGAAGAGCGGTTGTGATCTGACGTGATATCTTGCAAAGTGCCTTTTACGTTAAAGATTCTGAGACTTCTAGGCTGGCTACATGAATCAGACATTCTGGCAGGCAACATATTAAACTTTCATTTGATTTTGAGGAATCCCATGTGACTCATGCCAATCAGGTACGTTCTGCACAAATGGGCCTTAAAATTGCACCAAGAAGAAGCCGCTGCACATTTTGGATCTTTTTATCTGAGAGAATCCATGAATTTTTCAGGTCTGATTTCCATATACTGTAGTTGAAGGCACTTTGCTTGTCCCTGACTTTCCTCTGAGTATCTCCCTTCTCTTTATCTATTCTTCTATCTTGAGTGTTTAGTCAAAAACAAGAATAGAGAAATCTGCCCACTGAGCCACTTGTAGCGATTCTGGGAGGTGTGCTTTTGTGCAAATGCAGACAAAATGGAAGAGCATGAGAGTGGGAAAACCTACCCGGAAGAACAGTGGGTGGTGAGAAGAGAAAGTGGTGAGTGGAAGAAAGGAGATGACACTTTAGAATGAGAATCATCTTTTTCTGTCACCTTTAGCAATATCTCAAGGGTCTTCAGTGTTTGTTGGGAAAATAGAATGACTTAAAGAACATTCTAGATCATAGTGTAGTTGAAACCCTTGAAAAGTGACCCTTCCCTGTGAAACAATTTATAGATAGGGAATCAGCTTGTAACATAGGTGATTTATCTACACAGTGCAGAGCTAGAATCAGAATACATGTTCTTGACTTTGAATCTCCTGTTCTAATACCAGTCTTGATGAATTATTGTCCTCAAATATTTCCCCTACATCAAATGGCCCCAGACTACTTAACCTTTTGTCTCACGAATTTTAGACAAGGGCTATAACTGTGTCTGGGATCTTCCACTTCACAATAGCAGTTGAGATGGAGAGTTGGTTTCTCAGAGTGGATTATGGAGCTGAATGAGGCCTTAAAGATCTCTTTAATCAGAATTTTTCAAATATTATTTTAACAGTGAAGCCCTTTGTCTGAAGCAGACTTTTTTTAAGCAGGTGACTTAACTGAAATGCTGAAATATGTAATAGGGTCCTGGACCACTGCCTGCTCCCACCTCCCGCTCCCACCACTATGAAGACATGAGCTACCCCAAAATATCATAACCTTAAAAAACTGAATTCATTGCTTGTTTTACAATTACATTTTGAGTGCAGGAAAACAAAAATTATTCTAGGACATGGAAAGAGAAAACTCTGCCATAAAATGGTGAAGAATTAGCCTTTAAGGGTGGGTTGCAGTGGCCATGATTTCAGGGGAACCCAGGGGGAAGGGAACATATGAAGAACCTAGAGGTTTGCTAAAAAAAACCTTTATGAGTATTAACGAACACAAGAATATAATTGACCTACCATTTCCCATACCTCTCTTAAAGAAAACAAAATCTGTGAAAATAGAGATATTTCTTTGTATAAAAAATCATTGTTGCTAATGAAATACTTTGTAGGTAATGTGACATCTGCATCGATGGCTTTTTCCACAGGATTCTGAAAAAAATATCAATTAGTTTGGAGAGACTACCCTAAAATCTGAAGGAAGAGGCTGGTTTTCCTTTACATAGATTATCTGGAAACCAACTGGAACCTTCAGAGCCATAAGAGAATGAGGGTCAGTGATCTTTGAATAAGGGAAACGGAAGGAGTGTCAAGATTAAACAATTTTCATTTTCATAGTTGCCCACCGAAGAACATACTCCCAAGGACATATTTAGTTGTTACTGATGTTTTTAATGATTACATAGCCAGTGAACTCATGTCTTATAATTTCCCAGAACTGGAGGCTCCCTCAAGGTGGTGGCATATTACAATTTGCTTCAGTGCTTTTTTGGTCCTGAATTCTTGACAGAACGCTTAATATTATTCTCTTTGTCTGAAGGCTCTTCTCGCTCAGTACTGCCTACCAGCTTAGCACATGGGGGTAACTCACTCTCTGGGAGGAAGTGAGTCTGTGTGCCAGTGGTGCCAATCACCAGCACATTTTTCTTCAAATCAATGGAACACTGGTGTCTCCTAAGCATATCTAGTCCTAGGAGGATATCCATTGGCTGCTCCTCCAGTACAGAGAAGGAGCATTGTAAGAAATCACCTTCAATTTGAATTTGAGCTAGATGAACACGGCCAAGAATCCGCTGTGTGCCCACCCCTTTAGCGACCCCAGCCCATCGTCGGTCCACTAGCCTTATTATGTTACATCTTTCGGCACAAGCTTGGCTCATAATGGTCATCTGGGCACCTGAGTCAACAAAAGCCTTCAGAGGATATCCATTCACTTTGCAGTTAATGTAGAGCATCGCCACCTGTCCAAAACTCTCCGGAGCCTCTTCCATAGCTATGTTCATGTTGTCTTCAATGTTCTGCTGCCGAATTTCTTCTTCTATTTTGGCCTGAGCGTCTTGATCAAATGGATCAGCAGAATAGAGGCGAAGCCTCTCTTCTTCCCTCAAGGCTATTTCCCTCTGCTGCTCCTGCAGGACCTGAGAAAATGTCTCAAGGTTTCCGCTGAGCAGAGCTTCGGCTAAGATAGGGTTGCGTTCCTTCAGCAGAGACAGATCGTGGGGACTGGAAAGCAGCATGCTGCGAATCAAGGCAGGGCTGTCAAGACCTGCAGCAGAGGCCATGTTCTCTCCAGAAGCCAAGCCATGGGACTGCTGGGCTGATGGAGCATGTTTCTGCTTTTGCTTCTGCTGCTGGTGCTGGTGCGGGTGCTGGTGCTGGTGCGGGTGCTGGTGCGGGTGCTGGTGCGGGTGCTGGTGCTGGTGTGGGTGCGGGTGCTGGCGCTGGTGCTCGTGCTGGTGCTGGTATTGTGAGCTTGATGTTCCAGGCTGAGGAATTGTGCTGAAATCAACCCAAGGCTGGTTTGGGCTCCGTCCTAGAGGCTGAGATCCCACATTATCCCTCTGAAGTAAAACAACAACGTCACCATCTTTGAGGCCATAGGAACCCAAGGAAGAGTGGTTGTCTGTGAGGAGTCGCTCCATGTAGATGATCTGGATCTCCTCAGCAGGAACTCTGGACTCCATTTCACAGAGGACCTTGAAGTTGCAAAGCTCAAGGTCACGGCTGACCTGGAGGGAGAAAGTTTCCTCCGAGAGGTCCCTCCGCACACAGTACACAGTGATCAGCATGGCAGCGGCATGCGAGGGCCAGATGGGCAGAGGGCATCAGCACTGGGTGATTCGATGGCTGGTTGAGGTGTTCTGTGTTGGTGGCCTGGCTGCGCCGCAGGACTTGGTGTGTGGCTCAAGCTCATTCACCGCTCAGAAAGGTACAGCTACTCCTTTGTCTTGGGGCCACCTCCCAGCCTCAGCCCCAGCCACTGAGCCCCATGGAGCATGAAGGCAGCAAGTTCATTTATATGTGTGCTGTTTGGAACTTGGAATGCCTATTCCCATAGAAACCGTTACTCAAGGCTTTTAGGCTCCAAGGCCAGCCCTTCAAGTCCTACTTAACCCAGAACATGAAGAAGTTTAAGAATAAACTTCTTTCTAAAAACATATTATGATTGATCTTATTCGTTGTACTCTGTGTACTTTTACTTATTCCTGAAACTAAGGGCTTATTTCCTACATGGGGCATATGATGCTATGTGCTTAGTAGGGCAGATAAGTCAGACTTAGGGTGTGCCTTTGAGGATCTCCCATTCTGGAAAGGGATAGATGGATAAATCACAATACTAAAAGTAAACACTTTACAAAGGCTTGTTTAGAGTGTTACACTGAGCACTTCCAGTAGAACGGAGGATGTTTCTCTAAGGAGAAGACAAGCTGGGTGTTCAATGATGAGTATATTCTGGGCAAAAAAGTGGCGTCTTTTGTCTCTAGATGGAAGAATTCCTTGCACAAAAGTGAAGGAAAGGTGAGACATTCCATCCAATACGAAATATGTGCATGAATTTTAGTAGTAGTGTGTGAAGCTGAAAAAATTACTGGAGCCAATTTTTTAAAAAGTCACATGTGAATCTGAGAGGTTTAAAAAATTTTCATTTAGCAAAAATAACTTCAGAAGCAGAAGAAAAAGGAACAGCAGCTATAGCAAAAAAGGAAGGAACTAAAAGAGAAAGAAAAGTCTGGAAAGGGTATGAGGGATGTATTTGTGACTTTCTTTTCATTTAATTGACTTAGAAAAGAGGCTTCTTTCCATGCAAGGAGGACATGCGGTAGAAAGAGAGTGAATTCGGAGGCTTTTCCAGTCATACCAAAAGAGAGCTCTTGTTAATAGATCTGAAGATTTACAGAGGAAGAAGGATGTTTCTTGAACAAAATGGAGAGGATGACTTTTACCTTTGAATGTGTGTATGTGGGAGAGGCCAGGCATATGGATGATTGACCATGTCTAAGATGGGAGACTGGATCAAAACGGGCTGTTGCCTTGAAGGGATGAGTGAGATGAACCTTCAGAGTTACTAACTGGACTTTAATTTCGTGGTTCCTCTCTCTCCCAAGGGCACAACTCTCAGCACCACCACCCACACAAACATGCAGCGTTGCACATACACCCCAATGGAGGCTTTGGGGGTGAGGGCAATTTTGTTTTCAGGGCAGATGGCTATGAGCAGAAATCCTTCAGTACTACTTATTTTTCTTTAGGTTTCACAAAGTGTTTTGCATTATAAGGAGCTCATGCCACAGATCCGGGACCTCTCCCAGATGTGCCTACTTGTAAAACATCAGCTAGCCCACCGTCTCTGCCTAGACTTTATATCAAGTTTTTTCAGAAACCTGTGTCGTTGTACAGAGGATGAGAAATACACCAGCCTAAAGGACGTTCTTGGTTCTTATTTCTCTTGTGTTTGTCTCACATGAAAGACTATGTCTCACTTACTGCTCTAATTATCATAATGTGTCACACCCATGTTCATTTATGTTAGAAATATGGACTGAATGCCCAGTGGACATGAGGCATGTTCTAGGTTGTAGAGACACAGATACGAGTAATATAAAATGCAGCCTGTGTTTTTGTAAAGGAGTTCACAGTCTAACAGAGGATATATGTACACACACCAATTGGAGAGGTGACAAACACCACAGAGCAAGCCTGCGTGGCATGAGAAAAAACGAGTGTCTGGAGAATGAATGAAATTGATGGTGAGGGTGCTGGGCAGGGAAGACTTCCTGAAAGAGCTTAGCAGGATGGCAGGGCTCTGACCCCGCAGGAATGGGAAGCTTGGGAAGGGTACGGCGTGATTTGCAGGCTTTTACTGGAAAAGCAGCACTTTGTAATATGGAGGACTTCAGGGACCAAAATCTAACATAGTACTTTTACCGTGGAAGACCACGGATGGCTTAGACCCATTTTTCATTATATAGATGAACAAAACTTTAGCCTAACAATATTAAGTTACTCAGTTTCTTCTGTGGTTCTTAGCATTTTGATAAATTTGTCAGAGATGAATAACGTGTCTTGTGAGCCAGGGAACAACCCAATCCCAGACGTCACATGCCCAGGACTCTGCTAATGAACCGACTGGGAGGCAGGAAGACTTGGATTCAGTGTTTCTCTTTTTAATCCACCATGTGGCTTTGGATAGTTTGTTCTTAAAACTGTATTAGGTTCGGGCAGTGGCACCAAATCTATGACATGCATATTATTTGTTTTTACTTTAAGTCAAAAGATGTTCATGTAGCAGTTGTTTTTCTAAAAAAGGCTCAGGACTCAGATGCAGTGTTGGCACATCACAAGGAATAAATGGGTTTTGAGCTGTAGTTTGGCATTTATCTCTAAAAGGTTCACCGTCACTGAGTTAGGGAGATAATACCGTTCCAGGGCTTTTTTTTTTTTTTTCCATAGCAGATGAAATTATTTTTGTAAGCTCTTGTTTGGTAAAGCAAAGATTGACAGCTCCCTTTAAGAGAGACATCTCCTTTTCCATATTCCTCTTGCCTGGATACTGAGCACAATTAAACTTTACATGATGTGTTTTATTGTCTTTCTGTAATTCGTTCCTATTGGTGACATTTTGCATTCATGTGCCTTTTACTACTTCACCTTTTGTGGAGAACACACACCGGGAAGGAAAAAGTCTTGAATCTGACCAGTTCACTCTCATCATTCCATAGATCACAGGATGTCAGCACTGGCTGGATGCTCCAGTCCAGGCAGCCATCTAGCCTTAAGCCTCTGCTCCAAAACAGCTGGAACCTGAAACGATAAAAACAGTCTCCTGGGGAAGTTTACTACTTCTGTTTTATACACATTCTTCCATTTTATTCAGAAGCATTGGTGACTGAAATACCACATGTATAATCTCCTAACATGAAATTTTATTTATGAACTTTATCTGCCTATGTAATAAATATAGAGATCAATAGTAATATATCTGTAAAAACTCCTAAACATTGAATATTGTTAGGCCTTCCTTAAACTCCTATTGCACAGACTCTTGGGGAATGGATCTGAAGAATGATCTGAAGTTTCCAGGTGTGTTAATCTGAAGGTTATTGCAAGGTTTTTCTGGAGGAGTTTTTAAGTATATTCCCTTACTTTGCTTCCTTAATAAGTGTAATAGAAGAACATAATTGAATCTTTCTTTGATAAGTGAGACTACTGCTAGGTTTCAGGGCTATCACTCAAACAATCAATTCTCATTGTATAGCTTAAATACCCAGAAAATAGAGGAGATGGCACTGATTTCATACTAGTTCAGTAAATAACCCCAAAGTTACATTTTGGAAGAAACCCACTATAATACCTTTTATAATGTGCCTCATTCTAGCTTTGCAGCAAAAAGTGCAGTAATTGATGATCCCACTTAGTGAAATCAGTTGATGTTTAAAGTACTTTCTGTTATTTTGTCAATTGAAATAAATGTAGGGTTTTTGTGGCAAAAAATAGAGTGCATGAATAATTGTCATTACATAATATATACAGTAAGAAAAAACTGCTAAAAATATATATTTTCTTGCTGTTAGGATTCCTTCCTTTAAATATGTGTCTGGTATTGCTTTTAAAGTGTAATATGTACTTATTAAAAAATTAAATCATCACTTGAGATTTCCAGTGCAACTCAGAAAGATGTAGAATTTTCAAAGCAGCACCGTTAGGTTAAACCACTAATTTTTCCAGTGTTCTTTCATTTGCTTTACAATAAAAACAATAAGTTCTTTCAGAACTGTCAAGAGTAAAAAAAACATGTATTTTATTAGATAGTTATTTAGATACATTAAAAAGAAAAGGCTTACTGTTGCCTCTTTGAAGTTTAAACACGATGATAAAACCTGCAAATAAATATATAAACAGATATATAGTTGAAGAAACTCCGGAGATCTGATAATTTAGTTTCTATCAATCTGCTGAGAACTCACTACTGATATTTCTTATTGCAGAGGCAAAGCTTGAATAAAAGTCATACACAGAAAAAGAGAGAGAGGGAAAGACACGGAGGTGGATGCAGGGGATGATCGCAGGATATATTTTCACTTACATTAAGTGTACTAGTGGACTCTATTGTTTGTCACACAGAAGATTTTGATAGTCCACTTTACTGCATTTGATAAATTACTAGTTTTAGCATTGTATCATATAAAGAAATACATCTTTGAGATATAACATTGAGAATAATATATACTAATATAATCTCCCAATGTTCAAAATATATACTTTTCAAGTTGCATGTGCCACTATGTGTGTGTATGTTTCTGTGTGCATGTCTGTGTGTGTCTGAGTCTGCATGTGTGTGTGTGTGTCTCTGTGTGTATGTCTCTGTGTGTGTCTCTATGTGCATGTTTCCCTGTGTGTGTCTGTGTGTGTGTGTGTGTGTGTCTGTGTGTGTCTATGTGAGTGTCTCTGTCTCTGTGTGTGCCTCTGTCACTGTGTTTGTTTGTCTGTGTGTGTGCTTCTGTGTGTGTGTGTTTCTATGTGTGTGTGTGTTAAAATTTCCTTCTATGATTTTGAGCCCCTGGATCCATTGTAATGATTTAATCATAGTTTAAAACACACTCTGACCTGTGAGGCCCAGGCCTTAATTTTCAAAGCTTGAAGATTATTTATAATTTGTGAAATAAACATTTATACATTTAATAAATATAGTGTAATGAACTAAAAACAACATAAAAAGATTTATGACTTAGTAGATTGACATTTACTTATTTCTTGACTTTCATTGTATCTTACAAAAGGAATGTTTACATATTCCTATTCCTGCTATATGAAAAATAATCCTGTAGTATGAAAAAGTACACATTGATAATGGAAGTATTACCATTTGCATTAGCTGTGACTGAGAAAAATTAGTGAACTATATTTACTGTTTTATCTCTAATGCCTTAGAGATATCTCATTTAAAAATCACTGTCACTGTAGTTTGGAAATGCCAATGTCGACTACTCATAAGTTCAGATATACTTTACCAATTTCATCATAATTTTCATTTATCATATTAATGCTA